TTGTTCTTCACTCTATTTTTTACTCCAAAATGGAGTAGAGTTTGAGTAAAACACAACTCCGTTTTAAAATCACTCCATTTTAGAGTAAAAAATGGAGTTTTGGGTTGGAAATGGTCTAAAAACATACATTTTCGTGACAAGCTTAAAGAAGATATTGTGCGGTTTTCGCGACAGATTCACAGAAATTAGGCACCATGGTGCAGGAACCGAAAAACTGGCTGAGGTTTCAATCAGAGTTGGAGGAGTTGAAGAATTTTCGAACCTTTTTCTAGATTTTACTCTACAGTACTGTCCTAGGGAGAAGAATGCAAGAGCTGATCTTCTTGCACGACACGCTCGACAACGAAACAGAGTTTTTTTCTTACGTTAGCACTGCCGTCCCTCATTGGTTCCCAAATACTAATGTATTTGACTAAGTAAAAGCGAAAGTGCGTTTGTGAAAAAAAGAAAAAAAAAATCTTCGAAAAAGATAATTGGGATAACAACATAATTTAATGTACATATGAGTTATCAATTATTTGACGTAGAAAAGTGAAAGTTTTTTTAGTCAAGTGGTTGACACATACTACTTTTTTTAATGATTCTAGAAACAGATATGCAACCTTACACAACTTGCTTTTTCAAATGAAAACAAGAGTAGATGAAAGACCACAAAGTATCTTAAAACTTCTGATAAAAATTGTTGCAAAGATTCAAGATATTAGTGTCATTTTCAATTAGTTGCCACTAGAAAAGGAACCTTTTTATATGCCTCAAGAAATAATGAAACTAGAAGCTAATCAGTAATTAGTTAGATGGCTCAATTTTAGAGAAAAATTGTAATTCATCATAATTATAATTTATTTGGAAAATAACTAAAGGGTTGTTCAAAATGGACGAAAATAAATACTGCGGTTCCATGCTAATTTATATACAGCTACCATTCAACGTGTGTGCGTGTGTGTGGTGCTTCTTTAACTACAAACATAATAAAAACAACACAATTAATTTTTGTTAGACGTATATGATTAATTACACATAATTTCACGTATGTTATGTCTCCACTTGACATATACTATCTTACATAGCACCAGAGATTATTTTGTCAGCATGTGACATTTTATGTTTGGAAAGACGATTTCTTGTTTTTGCCAATAAGTTAGTTAGTTACCTCTCTCAATTTGATTATATATGTATATTGCTTGTAAACTATAATTAGAGTGGATTAATGGACATGCTTAATGGTCTTTTAAGATTTGTGTTGCGTGTTGGCTAATCAGCCGTCCAAGTTTTTCCAAAAGAGGTCACTCCTGAAACATCCCAATAAAACCCAATTAGATACGCAATCTCCACCTGTTTCAATTTCTTTCGAAAAATACATTATCTTTTGAAGATTTTATAACTTGGTACTTTTATAAATATGGTTGAGAAGAAAATGACATTAGCTTTTGAAGATTACTACTAGCATACTAGCTCAACATCTTTTGAAAGCTTCAATTTAGGATAACTGCAATGTCTGTCTTAATTAAGCCCTAATAATATAATAAAAAGGAATGATTTTTTAATATATTTTATCTATTTTTTTCTGTTAATTGAATACCGGAATCTGCTCTTTTTCTTTTTATTATTACAAAGTATTTTTGCATAAAATTTAAGTAAATCCGGTGGGTGTCAAAAAAAGACAACCATAAGTAGAGTTTGGTATTTCCGGCATCTTTATGTACGACGAAGTAATAAATAAAACAAACCAAACCATGTGGTCTGTCAAAACGATAGTTCACATTTGGTACCAAACCATTGATGACTGGAGATGTGATGTGTTTTCTTTTGTGGTGGGGGTTTTCAGTCCTTGAGAAGCTCTAGTTTCTTCAAAGCATCACGAACATCCGAATCAACAGGCGCGTCAACCACGTTGCTGCTCTCAAAGGAGATCACGTCTGTGAGAGGATAGCTCCGGTTAGCGTGCAAGACGTTGTCCGCGCTGCAAGACACCCCCTTTAGAACAACGCTCTTGTGAAGCCCTCCGAGCAATCCTTCGTAATCAGTGTCACCTGATTCGCCTACGAATACCGCCATTTTCGCCAAGTCAATGCCCCACCGGACGAACAAATACCTGGTTTCACCATAACCGTTGTTAAGGGCAATGCTTTGAAATGGAAACGAAAGTTACTTGTACCACAGGTTTTGTACTTAATCGTTATTACCTTAGGGCTTGTATGCGAGAAGCCAGGACCGGTATTACATTTATTCTGCTGCCATTCTGACTATAAATGACATGACAACGCAAAGCCTGGATTCTCAGCAGCTTCCGAAGCTCTCTTACTGGAGGTACCTGGGAATAGAAACCAAAACAAATGACTTCTTTAACGGAAAGCTAATGAGATTTGAAAAGACGTTCTTCTTGATAATGGTGCGCTTGATTTACCGCTGCAGGCTTTTTGACGGTAAAGGTGTAGCAATAGTCGGTTGAAAGATGTTCAGCAAGAGTGACTATCTGCTCGTCATTTTCAGATCTTTTTTCGTTAACTGAAGATGCCCAACGGATCAAAGTCTTCCTCAGCCCTTCACCACCCCAGCGATATTCTACGTGGGAGTGGTAGTAAAAGTCAACAACAAAAGGTTCTTCGTCGGAGTTGAGAGATGTGTAGTAGAGATCGCTGCCGCTGTTGCATACGAAAGCGTCGAATTCATTAGGGTTTAAGCCCCCTGACACCAAGAAAGATTGTATCTCAGAGATTGTTAGAGATGTCGATAATATGAACCCAACAGATCCATCGGCTCTTTCCTTATCAACCGCCTCTAGAACTCTTCTTGTAGCCTTTAGTGTGTCTTTTTCCCCATCAAAATCAAGAGCAATAACAACAATGAACTTCCTTCTTCGCACAGCCGGGAATTTTCCAGAGTTAACCTCTGACCTCTCCAGTGATCCCATTTTGCGGCTATCTTTGCCTTTAGACCAATTTAGGACAGCAGCTTCAATTTTGCTCTTCCTATCCATGCTCCCTTCTTGATTCATGGAATTGTCATTCCCACTTCCGTCAAATGAAAACCTTAAGTTCAAGGATATATCTTGTATATCTCTCAAAGAATCACTGGGTGACTCAGGTTCTGAATTATCACCGCCATCATCACTTTGCCATTGCGGATGTCTTGGTTTGAAGCTGGTTATGCGAGATAGATAGGTTTTGCAATGCTCTGGCCAAGAGAATTGGTGAATGTTCTTCAACCCGTTTTGCCGACACTTTGCCCATAGGTGCTTATCAGCAACAAGCTTGAGAAGAGCTTCAGAAATAGATTGTTGATCATGAGGATCCACAAGAAGGCCATTGTCCAGGATCTGGAAGAAAATCTCCAAGGTACATTTTAAAACAAACACGCATATAATATTCTCGGGGATATCAATATTCTTTTGTAAAAATACATACCCGGTGGATATCTACAGGACCACCATTTTTTGTAGCAACCATTGGCAAACCATGGGCTGCAGCCTAGAGGGGAAAAAAATATATCACATATTACTAAGATAACAAGAATGAGCCATGAAACACACATTTGACAATAAGAGAAAATTAAAATACCTCAATTAGAGTAAGTCCAAATGGTTCAATGATAGCTGGATTTATGAACACACCCTGCAAAAATTCATGCACAATAATAAATCTACTAAAGAGAATAACGGACAGAAGCATCCTGAGTAGTTTGAACTGTGAGACATAATCTGCCAAGAGTACCTTAGACTTTGCAGCTAGGCGATATATGTCGGGAACATCTGACTGTTTGTGATGTTTAGGGTAAGCAACTTGGCCGTAGAGATCATACTTGTCAATTAGCTTCAGAATAGAAAGGAGAACCGAAGAACTTGTACTCGACATTTCATCAATCCCATCACGGTTACCCATAATAAGTGCCTGCAAACCAGAAATATGCAAGATAAGGAAAACATCATGATGATCAAAACAGCAACATAAAACGAACGACCAAAGTGTAAGAGAAATGACTTTACAAAAGTCCCTATATATGACATTTACATACCAAGTTAGCAAGCTCTCTCAGTGGACGACATTCCCCAAATGCCTTCACTAATGTCGTGATATTCTTTTTTGGGTCGGGCCTCGCAAGGGCGAGTATCATAGGCTTTCGGGAATTCGAAAAGAAACGCATTATCTGCATCAAATATAGAATTTGGAGGTCGAGTAAACTGCTTGACAGAAAGATGATGCGAAAATATTCTATACAAGAATTGATATTATATCTTTTTCTCATGAGAAGCTAATAAATGTGATGTAGATGCTAATTTCAAGTAAGAACCTCAGCCCATATCGGTGGATCTCGAGAAGTTGGATGTTCCTCATTCCCATCTGCGTCTTCCACATCACCATCATGTGGGACAATATGATTGAACTCCATCCCAGGTGGAATTTTCTGAAGCAAAAATAAATAAACAGAAAACATTCTTATGATACTACAAAAGATCATAAGCAGAAAACATTTGTATGAAAACATTCTTACGACTACAGGTAAACATTCTAGCAAGGCAAAGAAAAATCATTCTCCCACCTGAGACATCTTTTTGGCAAGGCAAAGAAAAATCATTCTCCCATCCTAAACCAATATTCGGATGCAGTACAAACATTAAATATGACATTTCTAAATAATAATGAAGATCTCGATAAGCATGATTCTTTTACAAACAAACAAAATTGGAGTATTGGCCAATGATATACTCTGTTAAAACTTAGAAGACATGTGCAACAAGTTTGCCCAATCACATTACTCATGACCAAAGACACTCTGCCAGTAGTTAGTCACCTACCAATCATCTCCTAATTGTTAACACTAAAATCTCGACTTTGGAAAGCATATATTTCAGTCTATGTTAACCATGACAACGGGCAAGGATCAAGAAAATAGCAAGGGTTTAAGTTACTTACAACCATGCGAGGCATGAATCGTCCATAGCAGCTCACATTCCTCTTGATCCTAGCTCGCAATTTGCGCTCCAATATGGGGTCAAAACCATCATACAATCTCCATTGCTCATCTATCTCTTGCCGTGTGCTAGTTATTACCATTTCCGAAACATCAAGAGATAATTCCTCACCCTCTATTCGACGCATAATCTTGTAAGTTGAATTTATTTCTTCTTTTGAAAGGCGGCCTTGTTTCAAAAGCTGCTCCAGTTTATCTCGACCAAGTGAATGGCCAGTAAGAATCATAGGCACATTTAGTGCCCCTGACAGCAAAGCAGCGGCGTCACCAGCATCAGCATAGTGTCCATGGATGGCAGAAGGCCAAATAGGCTTCCCAACACCAACTTGTTCACCGAGAACATTGGACATTTGCATAATGTGGTTCATAGCACCATCAACAAATTCAGCAATGTGAGGCCATAGAAGTTCTTTTGGAATATACTTTTCCTTTGGACCAAATGGTATCCTCACAATATAAGCACCGCTACTCTCCCCCATCTCATCCGAGAGATCTTCAGAATTTCTAGGAGTCAGCATTTCCGTCGGTTCGCCATAACTCCAGTCAACATCTGGTGAAGACACTTGTCTGGTAAGTAAGTCAACCCTGTAAACTCCTGGCATTGATCCCAAAGCCCGTGCAAGTTCCACAACATACTTAACCTGTAACATAAGAAGCAGAGTGAGGAGTACACCCTTGTACGACATTACAATCACTCAAGTTGTTGGCAGTATCATTACCTGGCCACCGGTATCAGAATCGCGGCCGAGCTCCATGTTTTCACCACGTATGAGACCATGAAGACTGCATGGATACTAAATGTTAAACAACTATCATACTCCATCACTATCCTTACAAAAACCAATTGGCAGACCATTTACAACATTTTTACTCAGATTATATGCTAAATCAGGCCCTTGGAGGTGAGCGTAACTATAACTTGATTTCACAAAGGCCTAGAGAAGAGAGTTTGAGCACATACCTTATCAAAACAAGATACAGCTTATTTCCCTTCTGTTGGTTTGCCCACATCTCCATCGACTCAGCAGAATTTATTCTCGGCAACCTGCTTTTGGTGCCATGAGTTGATACATCACTAACGATATCTCCTTTCTCACCCTCTGAAAACTCCTCAGACATATCAGCTGTTGCCTCCCTGCGACCTCTCTCACGCTCAAGCCGACGCTTAGCCAGCCTCTGTGCTTCTTTTTCCTCATGCTGCACAAATATAAGAATGGGCAAACAAATCATATGCACAATGTTCCAGATCAAGTTCATAGCTATTTCAATAATTCCACGATCTAAGGTTGCAAATCACATTGTAGGGTCATCTATTCTCCAGCTCCCAAAGGCAGGACAGGAAAACTAGTAAGAAGTTAACCTCTATGCCAAATTTAAGAAAAATCAGTTTTAAAGACTAGTCCACGCATGGTACACCCTTTAAAAACACAACAAATATCATACGTAATTTTTTTCCGCTTTTTCTTATTGTTCTTCTCACGTAATAGTATACTTTTATCCCCCTTTTTACTAAAAGAGAATACAAAATGCAAAGAAAAACACTTTGAAAAGGTCCAACTTGAAGAGACCAAAAATGAAAAATTTGACTCTCGAGTCAAAACATTTAGGATCAAAGTCAAGCATCCGTTTTGATGATGCTAGATTTATAATAATAATTCACCTAAAAACCCGTTTTTAAAAGTTGAGAGCAAAAACAGAGAGTTTTGCTGTGTCAAATTTGCATCTTAAATTTGCCAAAAAAGAGAAAACGAACCTGCTTCTTCTGACGAGCCAGATTCCAGATTCTCCAACACATATTCTCCAATCTTGTGTTCCTCTCCTGTGGACTCCTCGTAGCGACAGCCTTTTTTTAAAAAAAAAAACCCAACACAAATCACACTCATGGATCGATCGATCACAATTCACAGAT